AGTTAGGCGTTGTCATAGCGCATGGTGCCCCGGATCTGGAGTCAGGAAGACCTGAGTTCAAATCCCACCTCAGACACATACTAGCTGTGTGACCCTGGACACGTCACTTAACCTTTGTTGTCTGCCTCAGCTTCCTCATCTGCAAAGGGGGATAGTAATAGCATCTACCTCCCAGGGTCGTTGTAAAGATCAAATGAGATAATTCGAGTAAAGTGCTACAAAAATGCTCATTACCATCAATGATTATTATCAATCACTGAGGGCAGAACAAGGAGCAGTGTGTGGAAGTGGCCTGAAGGGAGACTGAGGATTCTCTTATCTATTACAATTGTCCAAAAGCGGAATGGACTGCCCCACTAGGTAGTGAGCTCCCCGTCATCAAGGCCAGATGATAATAATAATAGCTAACATTTATGTAGCTCTTATGAGGCACCTTACAGACATGCCATTTGATCCCCACAATAACTTTGGAAGGGAGATACTGTTATTATCCCCATTTTACAGATGAGGACATGAGGCTGAGGTCACACAGCTAGTAAATGTCTAAGGCTGGACTAGAACTCAAGCCTTCCTGACTCCAGGACCAATGCACTATCCAGCTACCTAATAGTGGTTGAGAATATTCTGTGAAGAGGTTTCTTGATGAGATATAGTTTGGACTGACTGACACCTGTGGTTTCTTCCAACCTTGGGGTTTGGTGGTTCTGTGGGAACAAGGGAAGAGAGGGGAAAGCACCTACTATGTGCCAGGCATTGTGCTAAGTGCTTTACAAATATTGTCTCATCTGATCCTCACAATAATCCTGCAAGCTAAGTGCTATTATGATCCCCATTTTACAGGTGGGGAAACTGAGGCAGCAGTTAAGTGACTTGCCTGGCTGGTGCCTGTGGCTGGATTGATGTCTTCCTGACTCCAGGCCCAGGGCTTTATTCTGTGTCTTAAACCTGTGAACAAGGTTAGGGAAAGGGGAGACCAGGGGACCTGGGGCTGCTTAGGCTCACAGTGCAGCAGAAAGAGTGGAGCCAAATAATCTTGGTCTGCCACCTGCTATCCCTGTGTGATCCTAGGTGAATCACTACCTCTTTGGCTACCTGGTTGTAGCTGGGGTTTGTTTTTTGGAGTTGGGCTAGCTTAGCTCTAAGGTGCCTTCCAACTCTTCATCCGTGACCCTGAGTGGCGGTTTGGTTGTGCTCTGTCAGCTTACTGTGGCGCCCCAGTTTCTGCCCCGCTCCCTCCGCATTGCTGACCTTGCTGCCAACCAGCTGATGGAGATCTACCCACTTACCTTTGGAGAGAAGCCTGACCTCAGGTAAGTAAGCCCCAGTCCCGTTAGGCTGGCATGGATGGCGGGGTGGGGAGAGGAAGGAGACCTGGCTCTAGGGAAAGGCTCAAGGAGCCCCTTGTATGGATGGGGATCCCCTGGTCTGAGGGGTGAGACGTAGCCTCTGCCTACAGAGAACTAGATGGGCTTGCACCGGCTGCTCTATCCCCTTCAGGTCTGTGTATCTTCATGACAACCAGCTGACCAACACGGGTCTCCCCTTTGATGCCTTCCATGGCTCTGAGGCCATCACCACCCTCATCCTCTCCAACAACCAGCTGAGCTACCTCCCGCCCAGCTTGCCCTCATCACTAGTTCGACTCCACCTGCAGGTGCCATGGGGTGGGAGGAAGGACCCTGGTCGGTGCTATGCTGTTATTCCAACCCCTTCCCTGGGGGTGTCTGGTGCCCCTGACCCTGCCCTCCTCCCACAGAACAACCAAATTGCCAAGGTGCCCCGGGGGGCCCTGGGTCGACACTTCCAGCTGAGGGAGCTCTATCTACAGCACAATCGGCTATCTGATGCTGGCCTTGATGCTACCACCTTCAGGTATGGCTTCCAAGAAACTGGGGCCCCTTCACCCCCAGTGGGAGCACCTGTGAAGAAGGTGGCTTGGAGAAGGCTCTTTCCTGCTCTAGGAATTGACCAGAACCCCAAAGTCGATACTTGCTGAGTGCCTGCTGCATGCTGGGCGTTGTCCGCAGGCAATGTGGAGCCGGAGATGTTGGGGGCGTAGTCTAGTTAGGGGCAGATAAGTAGAACTGTACAACTTTTCCATTTGAAAACCACTCAGTTACAGGGTCAGAGATCTAAAGCTGGAGGGACTTTAGAGGTCACTTAGCCCTACTGCTTCACTTTGGAGACGAGGAAACTCCGACAGAGGTCAAGTGAGTTCCCCAGGGTCTCCTAGGTAGTAAAGAGCAGAGCTAGGATTTGAACCCAAATGTCCGAGCTCTAAATCCAACCCTCTCCACTGTGTTACCCACCCTCCTGTGTGGTAGAAAGAGCACTGCATACAGAGTCAGAGGGACTGGATTCAAATCTGCTGCTTACTAGTTGGGTGACTTTTAAGATGGGTGAGTCATCCTCTCTGGGTTTCAATTTCCTCATCTATTTAAGAAGAGGTTGGAGCAGGTGTCTGTACAGTCTCTGATAGCTCTAAATGATATGATCCAAGTGTGGCTCAGAAAGGCCAAATGACTGCTCTAGGGAGGAGAAAGTGACCCTCCCTGTGGGCTGGGATGGTCTGGGAAAGATTCCTGGAGAGCAGCCACAGATCAGGGCAGAGAGAGGAAGCCTGTTCTGAATAGCACTGTGAGGTGTGGCAGGGATGCACCTGCCTTCCGTGGTAGATGAGAAAAGACATTGGATTTGGAGTCTGAACAAGCTGTGTGATCTTGGATGAGAGGGGTGGATTCAGTGATGTCTAAGGTTCTTTCCAGTCTCCAATCCAGGATCTTCTTGGCCCTCAGCAAACTCAAGAGCTTGGAGTATCTAGACCTGTCCAACAACAGGTTGGGCGAGGTGCCGGAGGGGCTACCGCCAAGCCTGGTCATCCTGCACCTGGGCAGGAACCAGATCCGCCACGTGCCAGCAGGACGGCTGAGTGGGGCCCGGGGGCTGCAGTATCTCTTACTGCAGCACAACCCTCTGGGGCCTGGAGGACTGGATCTGGCTGCCTTCCAAGGTCTTCGGGGCCTGCATACGCTACACCTCTATGCCAATGGGTTGGAACAGGTGCCGCTGGGACTGCCCCGCCGCCTTCATGCCCTCATGTTGCCCCACAACCGCATCAGTGAGCTGGGCCCTCGTGCCTTGGTGGCCACACCCTCTCTGGTTGACCTCAACCTGGCCCACAATCGACTCACCAGTGCACACCTCCACCACCTGGCATTCCGCCGCCTGGGGCATCTTCGGACCCTTGACCTGGCAGGGAACCGCCTTACACTGTTGCCTCAGGGTCTGCCTGGCAGCCTCCAGGTGCTCAGGCTGCCCAGAAATCAGGTCAACAGCCTGGACCCCGAGCCCATGACCAACTTGAGCATGCTCCAGGAGCTGCACCTAGGACACAACAGGCTCCGTGTGGGCTCCATCATGCCTGGGACCTGGCAGGAAGTGCCCAGCCTCAAGGTGAGGGGAGGCAAGGGCTCAAAGGTGAAAGGTGGGGTCACCTGTGATCTGAGCTGTCCCCCCATCTGACCCCTTCTTCCTTGCAGCTCCTGGATCTCAGCCACAATGAGCTGTCTTTTGTGCCTCCTGATCTTCCTGAGGCCCTGGAATTCCTGTACCTTCAAGGGAACCGCATCAGCAGTGTGGGTGCCCAAGCCTTTCTCACAACACCCCGCCTACGGGCCCTTGTCCTCAGGTATCCCCACTGTAGCTGAGTCCTTGGCTCTGGGAGGGAGGCAGTGTCTTCAGGTAGATGAATGGGCCAAAGGACCGCAGTAATTAAGTGCTAGAAGGGCATTTAGAAATAACTTGTCTAATGCTCTTCTTTTACAAGTGGGGAACCTGAAGCCCCAAAGTTGAGATTTGATTCTGAATCTTTTCCATTTGAATCTAGAATGTAGTTCTTCCCTCTAGATCATGCTACCTGTCTTCACTTGTTAGGGACATCAGAGGACCTGGGTTTGGCTACTTACTGTGTGACCTTGCACAAGTTACTTAACCTCTCTAGGACTGTTGAAAGTCCTCTCCAACTCTAAATCTGTAATCCAGTGATAGAAGGAGATATGTGCTTCAATACAGGTCAAACTAGATACTTTCTGACATTCTGTGCTACCTGCCCCCTTCCCCAATAACTTTCCTTTAAGCAGAGAGGCCATTGGCTAGATACTAGGATGCCTGGATTCCTTGGTTGGGGCAAAGTTCTTTTCCATCTTTGTTGCACCCCATCTTTAAACATACACAGAAACCCACTGCTTCCTGCAGATCCAACCAGCTGCTGATGACCAGCATCTCCCCGGAGGCCTTTCTGAACCTGCTCCATTTAGACGTGGTGGACACATCAGGAAACCCTGAGCCAGTCATTGTGAAACTCCCGGAACAGCCCAGACAGCCCCAGGCTCACTGAAGCAAGCTGACCATCCTATCATCCAGCAGGGACACCCAGAGCTACTGCGCATACCTTCTCTGATCACTCAGCTGCCTTTCTCTCCAGGGCTGCTTTCAGGGCACTCAGTGGCCAATGCTTGCCATCTCTGTGCCAGGAAGTTAGTGTGGTGGGTGAGAGTGGGGGCCAGGCACCAAGCTGGCTTTGGAGGACACAAGGCCCTCTTCCACTTTCTGGATGGGTGGGATTTTACCAATGGAGTAGCACCCTGTGGCCTTTGCGGGGGGATCTTCAGGGGCAAGGATATAAGGACTAGCAAACTCCTGGTAGTGACTTATAAGGGTCGGGGGTATTTAATCCACCTGACTGAAAGACCACTGACCCCCTTGCAATATACATGTCACCAGATACTCCAACCCTCAAGCACTCAGTGACATAACCCTTTCTTCTTTTCGGATGTCCGAGTCACCACCACATGCTATTCCTCAGTGCTCCCTGTCCAAACTAAGGCTCCCCCCAGGTGCTTAGCACAGAGGGAAGCTCTCAAGTGGACCAGGAAGCTTCCTGGTTAGGTCAGAGGTCATGGCAAAGAGCCACAGAGGATGAAACAAAGGACAGAGCTGTGCTGTGTGCAACCCTTGCTTTTTATTGTGTGTGCCTGCTCCCCCTGACCCAAACCCACTCTTCCTCCTGCCAGGGGCACCACAATCCAGGGAGGCTCAAGGTCCTGGTCCTCCTCAGTGGCAATGGCAAGTCTGCCTCACCTGGGAGGGCCATGTGTCTGCACCTCCTGCAGCTGACAAGGCAGGCTAAGGATTAGGGAGATGGGGCTGGGAGAGCCTAGCTCACAGGTCTCATGCCCAGGTAGGAGTGTTCTTTGGGGTGGGTGCTGGCCAGTTAAGGCTTCTGAGGCTGGGACCTCTAGGTTTCCTAGGAGCCCCAGACTGGCAGATTAGAAAATAAAGTGCTTGGGAAACTGGTAGGGAAGGGGTGGGACCCAGCCAGAACCTGGTCCCCAAGGCCTCACCACTTCCTTGATGCCCTCCCACCTCCCTGGGTAGGCCAGGGGCAGCAGCCGGCTCAACTGTGCAAACCACATTCTACAGAGGGGACAATGGGGACCTGGGAAAGGGAAATGATGCCCAAGGGATAAGCCACCATCTCTGAGGGCGCGGGAGCGGAGAGCCTCTGCCAGCTTGCCTGGCTTTCCAATAGGGAATTCTGTATGGCATAGTGGGTACAGATGCCTCCGTGGTAACTTTAACTTGCTTGTTTCCACAATTCCAATTCCACCAGGATAGGGAGAGAGTGAGAGAGAGAAACCAAGATCCAACCTGAAGCAGGTGCCACCCCACTTTCTTTTCCCCTAGAGTGTGGGGCCAGGCCAGAGATATCCCCTCCCTCCTAATGATTGTCAAGGGATTGTCAGCAGATTTGGTCTTCAGCAGAATCCTCAGGGTCGGCTGGAGAGCACGGAGGGAGCCTGGGGCTCTCACGTTCACCTATCTCCCATCACCTCCTTCCCAGCACTCCGGGCCCCTACACCTGCTCCCAGAGTTCAGCTGCCTTTGTTGCTTGGACTGGGTGAAGCCCAGCGACCTGGGTACAGTCCTGATGATCCCATCACCTCCGAAGCTGCTGCAGCTGAGAAGAAAGCCCACCCCAGACATGAGTGTTAGGGCTGTGACAGAGGAGGTCTGAAGTGTCCCCGCTCAGAGCAGAGGGGCTGCAGGAGCCCTGGATCAGAGATGGGGCAGGCGTGTTGGTATTAGGGTCCCACCACACTGAGAAGCTCTACTTAATTCTCAGGTCAGAGATGGGGCAGGAGAAAGACAGAGACAGAAAGAGAATTGTGTAGGAGAGAAGTCCCTCCTCATAGCTAAGGTCACCACCCCCAGGCTCTCACCTCTCTCTCCACCACTAGGTTCCGTTTGTACAGAGCTTCCTTAGCCGCATCCTGTTGGGAACACAGTTGCCATCAATTACCTATCCCGGCCTGTGGCCTAGCATCCAGAAATGGAGGGCACCCTGTTGCCCTCTAAAGATGTTTCCCACGCCTTACCCTATTGCCATCACTGCCCAGGCGTCGGGCGGCCTCTGTGTAGTACTGCAGGTACCGTTCCAGCTGAGTGTGGTACTCTGGAAGGCCAGACAAAGAGTGATGAGGACCTAGATGTGGCCCACCCAACTCTGTCCCCACCAAAACCTAGGGAAAATTAGGGAAGTACCCGACTTCTTGGATTTAGGGAGAAACCCTGTTCTGCCTCCACCATTCGCTCCATTCTCTCCCCCACCAGCCACCTCCAGTGGGGCCAGGGAAGGATTAAGCCCTCCCCACCAATGCCTCCTGGTAAGGCTGACCTGTATTTCCAGCAGCCCTTGGGAGGGCTCAGACAGGGGGCTCCAGAGCCAGCTCCTGGCAAGTCCCAGGGTGGGGTGGGAGAGGCAGCCTACCCTGCCTCCTGGACACATCTCACCTCTCCTGATGCCTGAGCCTCCCTGTTCTAGCTGTGCTCTCTGCCACTGGCTGTGCTGAACAAGGTCCTGGTACTGCTGGGCCAGCTCCCCAGGCACCACCCGCCGGGCCTGCTTGTATGCCACAATCTGCCAAACACCAGCTGGGAGTGAGGGTCCAAACACCTCTTCCTTTTGGGATAGAGCTTTAGAAATACCCCCATGAAGAGGGAGCAGGGAGAGGATGTTGCCCTGGGGAGCCCCACCTCAGGAGACAGTGGGAAGAGAGGCCCCTAAAAGCCCCTGCCCCAGCACCATCACACACCTTCCTCTCCAGCCGTTCCCGGTCAAAGGCCATGACACTGAGGCTCTGTAAGCTGCGGGCTGATCTGCTGTTCAATTCAATGAAACAAATGACTCTCTGTTTGAGGGATGGGAAGGAGTCACACAGCCCCACCGTCCCAGCCCAGCCACTTACTTGCCCCCTTGGTCTCGTCCTTGGACAGGGATGGGTGGGGCCTTGGCCTTGGGTACTGCCGTCTGCTCAGGGTGGTACAGGAAGAAGATAAAGTGAACAAGTCTCATCAGGTCCCCTTTGTCCTCAGATACCTGGGTCCCTTTTGTTCTCAAAGGCCACCCCAGTTCCATTCCAACCCTTCTAGTTTCGTACCCTTCCCTCTCCCAGGTCCCTGGCCCCTGGTGACCCTTTGTCCACTGAGTCCTCAGGCCCTGTTCCTCACCGGGGGCAGAGGGTCAATGACCAGCCACCTCTCTGTGACAGTGTCTAGCTGCTGTGAAGTCAGTGGCTCCCGCAGGCGGACCATCACCTCAAGCCGTCCTCCTGTGGGGCGACGGCCATCCAGGATCTGAGGAGGAGAGAAGTCAAGTTGTTGGGCAAGACAGGGTACAAGGGACAGGGAATTAGGGAGAGGAGGCAGGTGAGAACTAGATACCTCAAGGATTTCTCGGATCTCACAGGCTGACTCCAAGCCCTCCAGCTTGAGCTGGGCAGTGCCCAGGGCACGGTCTGGCTTGAACAGTCCCCTGCGGAGGAGAGGCAGCCATGGGACAGGAGCCCTCACACCAGCTTGGACCACTCTGTCCTGGCTACTCCCTCACTCACCCCTTGTGCATCACTTCAAATTTTATTCCTTTGGTTTGGATGGCACGCTTGAAGCCCCGGTGTCCCCGCTGGATGAAAAGCTTGAACTGCTCCTTGAACTCTGCCCGGGAGGGAGAGGGAGAAGGGGCAGGCCGACGTCAGACCCTGGCCTCTTTGCCCTGGATCTCCAAAGTACTGAGCAACCTGTCCTTGTCTCCAACTTACCTGGGGAGGCTGTATTCTTTATCACATTGGTCTTATCTTTCTGAGCTTCTTCCTACATTGAGAGCTGAGGCTGGATAGTGGCCAAAAGATGTCCCACTTCCAGCCCCGATAAGTCTCAGGACCCTGCCCTAAGACCTGAGCCCTCTGAAGGAGGAGGAGAGGCATCCTCCCTTACACCCAGATCTGCTCAAGCCCACCCCTTCAACAATCTTAAGCATACAACCTCCCAAGGCCCTTGGGACTCAGTTCTCCACCTCCCCTACTTCCCTCCACAGTCCTCACTCACTGCATTGGGATAGGGGAAGTCAAATCGCACGAAGGTGTCCAGATCACTGGGGGATAGCCCTGTAATGAAGGCCTGGGGTCAAGGCTCCTTCAGCCCGGTGGGGAAAAAAGCAGGAAGATGGGTAAAGGGAGAAAGCAACCCCAAGAGCCAGCCCGCTCCCTCCCCTTCCCATTTGCAGGGCCCTGTTACCTGGCGGTGTGGGAAGGTTGATGCCCTTCACTATGAACAGAACCATGTCACTACTGCTGAGCTCTGGGAAGATCCTAGAAGAAGGGTCAGGACAGAATAGGGCAGGGGAGCAGAAACAATGGCCCCAGAGGAGACGGGCAAATGCCCACAGACCATGGCTGCCCATGGTTCACTAGTTCCAAGCCTGCCCTGGGGCAGGGGAGATGAGAGAATCCTTAAAGGTCTTACTTGACCACACTGAATGTCCTCTGTTCATAGTGGAACTTGGGAAGTGGGAAGCCTCGGCTGTGGGCTTGCTTCAGAATCTCCATGCTCTTCTTACAGTCCTCAGCCATTTTCTCAAACCTTGGGGAGGCAAAGGAGAAAAAAAGACATTTAGGTGACAGCAAGGCAGGGCCCCTTCCCAGATCCCATCTCAGAGAAGAAAGCCTCCTTCTCTGCCTCTGCCACAGTCTAAATACCTTAGGAGTACACCTATCTATGGACAAGTTCAGAGCTGCGAAGGAAGGAAGACACACATGTTGTCCATTTGGCAGAGGCAACTGGAGGCACGGTGAAGAGAGTGCTGGGCCTGGAGTCAGGAAGACCTGAGTTCTAAATCCTCCCTCAGACACTTACTAGCTGGGTGACCCTGGGCAAGTCACTTAACCTCTGTCTGTCTCATCTGTTTCCCATCTGTAAAATGGGAATGATAACAACGGTATCTATTTCAGAGAGTTGCTGTGAGGACCAAATGAGTGAATATATGTAAAGTGGTTTCTATATAAATGCTACCTGCTAATACTATTATTACTTCTTGATTAGATGCAAGGCAAATGTGGGGTTTAGTATTTTATCTGGTGCACTTAAGCACACGATTCTGAGAAGGGGGTCCGTAGGCTTCACCAGATGGCCCACGTTAAGAACACGTGGATCGGATGAACTCACAGGTGCTTTCCAATTCTAGATGCTACATTCCATTTGAGGGGAGGAGACAGGAAGGGAGAGGAAACTCACTTGCTGGTTTCCACAACATTTCCCAGGTGGGTGAATTGATTGGAGTACTTCAGGCACATCTTGGTGAAGGGAAGAGACAAGGAGAGAATTAGGGGAGCCAGTGCCTTGGAGTCCAGGACTATCACTGCCCCAGTGGCCTCAGCCCTCCCTTCTATACCTCATGCTGCTGCCTCATCAACTTGGTGAGCTCTGCATAATGCCCAGCCTCCTCCAGAGAGATGGCTGCGCCAGGCCGTTGGACCAGTGTGAAATCTTCTTTATTGACAGGTGCTGGCGGCACCTGAAAAGGGCAGTGATGCTGGTAAGGCATGGGATGTTGTGAGCAGGGAACACAGCGAGGGGTCCCGGGACTCATGCCAGCCCCTCACCTTGGTGATGTCGACAGGGAGCCCATTAACCGAAGCCTCCAACATGGGCTCCAGTCCCTTGGCTTGGCGAAGAAAGAGTTTTGCGCCTTCGAGGTCATTCTTTTGCTTGGCTCGCACGGCTGCCTGCAACAGCTGCTTCTTCCTTCCTTCCAGGAAAGCCAGCTGCTGCTGGGCTGTGGGGCAGGGGAGGAGGCAGGGAGAGGCCAGCTCCAGGGATGGCCAGGAAGCACACCACCCACCAGGCCCTGCCTCTGGGGGAGAAGGAGCCTACCTTTGGTGGAGCCTTTTACAGCCACTTTCCCAGCTGGGCCAGGGCCTGGAATGGAGGGCCGGGAGGCCTGGACTTTGGGTTGTGGAGAAGGAAGGGAGTGGGTGCTGGGCTGGTATGGAGGGAACAACAAAGAAAACAAGTCATGGCACTGCCCAACCTATGCAACTTCAAGGTGCCCCTCACCCAAGGGTCCAAATGCCAACTACAATAGTCCTGGGCAATGACACATAACGATATCTTCCACTTCTATACTCTCTTAAGGTTTACAAAATACGTTCCTCACAACCAACCTTGTGAAGCAGGTAGTGCAAACATCGTGACAGAAAGACACTAGGACTCAGAAGGGTGACACAGGTGACAGATGCCACATGTCCCAGTGCCTCTCGACCATATTCTGGGGGGCGCAGATCCTGTTCCAAATTTAGCATTCTCCCTTACCCCCATCTCTCTCTCTCTCTCTCTCTCTCTCTCATACCTTCTTTGTCTCTTCTTCCTCCTCATCCTGATTGGCCAACCTCATGGCAGTCTCCAGAACCCCTACTAGGCTTTGCTGTGTGGGTGTGGCTGTTTCCAGACCCTGAATTGGGGGGAAACCTGGCCCCAAAAACAGCAAGAGACTCCAATCAGCATCATACTTTAGAGGTTCCAGCTATCACAGACCTCTTCTACCCCAACAAAGATTGTCAACAGCATACTAGGATGACATAAACCTCTATAGTCAATTCAGACTATAAAAGCCCCCTGAAGCTCTCCACTCACAGAGCATGGACCTATATAGACACCTAAAGCCAATCGCTCACACACAAATCTGACCAACCCCCTTGCCTGGCTCCCCAGAGGAGGGAGTACAAGCATGCTATCCCTAGGTCCAGTTCACAGCTCTCAGAGGGACCTAGCTCCTTCTTGTTCTCAGGTCAGAGGAGAGCCTGGGTGCTAGGGCCCTGTACCCAGGGACTGCCCCAACAGGCCCAACCTTGCCAGGAACCTACCCGGTGGAACAGGCAGTTCAGCCACATCCACAGATCTGCCCGACTTGTGCGCCCGGATGGCATCCTGATATTGCTGCAGGAAAAAGGCTGGCTGATTAGCAAAGCTGACAAAGAGGAAAATGAAAAACAGAGGGGACAAAACGGTGAGCTGTTGGTGAAGCTGTCAACTGGGTCAGCCATTCTGGAAAGCAGTTTGGACCTATGCCACCAAAGTTATTAAACTGTTTGTGCCCTTTGACCCGCAATCCTGATACTAGGTCTATATTCCAAAGAGATCAAAGAGGAAAAGGACTCCTATGTACAAAAATGTTTATGGCAGTTCTTTTTGTGGGAGCAAAGAACTGGAAACTAAAGACTGTTGGAAATCTACTAGGGAATGGCTAAACAAAGGCTAGCATATGAATGTGATATAATATTAATGCATCATAAGAAATGACAGAGGAAACAGTTCAGAATATCTCTGAAATGACAGAAACTGAAGTGAGGAGAACTAGCTATAAGGATAACAACATTGCAAAGAGAAACCACTTTGAAAAACTTTAGAATTCTGATTAATGCAATGATAAACCATAATTCTGTAGGGCCAAGGATGGAGTACAATATCCACCTCTTGTCAAAAAGCTGGTGGACATAAGATTCAGAATGAGACAGACATTTTTGGACACGTCCAATAAATGTGGGAATTCATTTTGCTGAACTACGCATATCTGTTATGAGTGTTTTTTAAAGGGTTCACTTTGGGGGGGGAAGGGGGAGGAAAAGACAGACGGGCTAAGCCTGAACCTGGTTCCACGCTCAGCCCAGACCCAACCCTGCGCATCCCCTCACTTTGACTATCCGGTCATGCATCCGAGCCTTGCGATCATCCCCTTTGTCTCTGGCCTGCCCTGCAGCCACCCGATAACGCTCCATCCGCTGTTCCAAGGCCTCTAGCAGGGCCCGTGGAGGTGGGGGCATCTCTGCAGAGAAGCAGAAAGGCTCAGTGACTAGGTGATTGACAAGTCTTTCCTTTCCTTCCCACCCCCTGGATTCCCTGGCCTTGGAATTCTCGGGTCCTCGGTTCCCACCAGCGACTCTCAGCAGCTCAGCTGGCTCTGTCAGTCCTCCCCTGAAGGGACTGTGCTTACCTGGCATGGAAGGGGAGACAGTGCTAGCACCAGGGGTAGAAGCACGAGGCTGGAGCCCTGGGGATGGCAAGGTCTTGAGCATCTGATCTGTAAACCAAGAGGACCAGTTATTCAAACAACCAACAAGCCTCTGCTGAGTCCCCAGTCTTGTGCGAGTGCAGCAGGAATACAGAGCTGTAAGACGTCCCTGGCATGTCCTTGAAGAGACTCATGCCCTAACACTTCACTCCCTCCCCGGACCAAGATGCCATATAGAACAGTCCTCACCAGGTGGGGGAGGTAACCGGGATAGGTCCACAGCCTCACCCCTGGTCATTGCTTCCAGGACAGCATCAAAGCTCTAGGGGAGGAATGGGGGAGATGGGGAGATAGCTGTAGTTATCTCAGGGACAGGACAGAGAAGAAATGGGCCAGATGTTGTGATAAGGGAAACCAAAGGAGCCAGGTCAGGCCCAAGATCCCTGCCCTCTATCACATCTTACCTTGGCTACTCGGTAATACTTAGTGGCTGCTTCTGAGTTGCCTTCCTGCTTGGAGCGCAAAGCGGCCCTTTTGTATTCTCGCTGCCGCTCCTGCAACAGGGTCAGGGACTCAGGGCTGCCAGAACCTACGAAGAGATGATGCCCAAAGAAGTTGGTAAGTCAAGCTGCTCAGGGAACTTCTTTTAAAACATCTTTTTTTTCAATTACATGTAAAATTTTTTTAACATTTCTTTTTTTAAATACTGAGTTCCAAATTCTCTCCCCTCCCCCTTCATTGAGAAGGCAAGCAATTTGATACGGGTTATACATGTTCAGTCATGCAAAACATATTTCCATATTAGTTATGTTGTAAAAGAAAACAAAGACCAAAAAAAGATATTTAAAAAGTATGCTTTAATCTGCATTTAGACTCCATTAGTTCTTTCTCTGGATGCAGACAGCATTTTTTATCACGAGTTCTGGAAACTTCTAAGAGAGGATGGGGAATAGTTAATGTCCAAAAGATTGTGGGGGTGCAGGAGTACAGAAAAGAGAATGGAACTTTGCAATCTCCTCCACTTTGTCTTGGGGCCTAAGGACCATTCCTAGTGCCCAAACCAGCCAAAGGTCATGTCAGACTTACCAGAGCTCACAGGTGAGGCCACAGAAACTGGCTTCTCAGTCACCCCAGAGCCATGACTGGCAGGCACAGACAGTGTTTTGGGAGGAACAGCTGGCAGCTGACGTTCAGGGGGCTGGGTGGGTATGGTACTCTGTGTCGGTGGAATCTCCAGGGGAGGTGTCAGGCTCTTCCCCATGGCCACAGGAGGTGGGATGTCGTCTTCGTTGATGCTACGTCCCTTCTTAACTGAGACCAGCATATTCTCTAATGTCTGAAGAGAAGGGAAGTCTAGGCTCAGTCTAAGGCAGAGCCAGCTTAAGATGAGATTGAATTATGGAACAAGGACCCTTCCTGCTCACCTTGACACCTCGCTCATATCTCCGGACCTTCGAGCTGTCCCCAGCCTGCTTGGCATTGGTGATGGCAGTCTGGTACATGGCCAGTCTTTCAGCCAGGGTGGTTTCCATGCCAGCACTGCTGGGGCTGACCTTAGGTTGTAGAAGACCGGGTGACTGCAAGGAAATATGGGGGTCACTGACCCTGAGATAGGGGGAAATTATGCCCCAGGCCCAAGAATTGTTCCTCCAGGAGCCATTCCACCTGTTCACCCATCATGCTGCAGGATCTGTCCCATACCTGGTCCCTGGAACAACATCTCAGCTTTTAGCTCAACTTGGGATAGGGCTCAGGCCATAAAATCACAGGATTGAGAGCTAGAAGGGGCCTTCAGGGATGACCTTTGAGGGGCTGTCCTGCACGCAGGGGTAACTAGTGGAAGCAGTGGATACAGTGCTAAGCCTAGAGTCAGGAAGACTTATCTTCCTGAGTTTGAATCTAGACAATTCCTAGCTGTGTCACCATAGGTAAGTCACTTAATCTTCGTTTGCTTCAGTTTCCTCATCTGTAAAAACAGGGATAATAACAGCACCTACTACTCAGGGTTATTGTAAAAATCAAATATGACAATACTTGTAAAGTGCTCAGCACAGCACATAGTAGGCGCTGTATAAACGTCAGCCATGATGATAATGATGACGGTAAGGAAACTGCTTGCTGTGGAGGGAACTCTGGAAGTCACACACAAAACAAACCAAAGAGACAGACAGCAGCATACCTTGGCCAGGGGGAGGCTCTGGGTATCTTGGGGCTCCTCCCTTTCCCCAAGAACTTCATTGAGCTCTGCCTAGACACACACATAGAAGAGGATAAGGGCTAGTGAGTCTTGGTTAATATCCACTACTCACTCAGAGACACCACTGACCTCAGTTCTGTTAGTAAAAGGAGTGGGAAGCCCCTGGTATAGCCTTGTCCAGAGTGTAGGCAGAACCATATGATTTGTGACAGAGTGAAAAGGTCCCATGGTGGTGACAAGAGGCAGCTCTCTGGGTAGGATGGGGTGGGGTAGAACTTGCTTCAACGGTTCCTGGCTCCATGAGAGTTCCACGCTAACAGTGTTGCTGTCATATTTCCTCTTACCCACCCTTCCCAATTCCTTCCTTCTGCAGAGGCCAGGGACCCAGCCCGCCCCACACTCGGGCAGAACAGATCTATGTGGAAGACCCTTCGTGCTTGGAGAAGCCATCCAAGCCTCTTCCTCACCAGAAGCTCATCATCATCTTCCACATCATCATCATCATCATCATCCTCTTCCTCCTCTCCTTCATCCATGTCCTTCATACACAGGGAGGCCATCTTTTCAATGGTCTCCATAGGCAAAGGAGCTAAAGAGAAAACAAATATAGATGTAGTTCAGGACCCCTCAGCCATCCCAATCACACTGCTCCACATCCTACTTTGAATAAGGCTTTCCAGTGGTGCTCAGGATTTGCAGCATATATGGGACAATGGTAAGCAGGGAAGAGGGAGAACTTCAGTACGAACAGTCAGGGATGAACATAAGCAGGATCTCCTAGGCTTTGGATGCATAAGAAGACAACTCCCAACAGGCAGTGGGGACCCCCTCACCTTTGCTTTTGAGCTCCTGAGGTGGCTGGGCCCCTACCAAGGCCATGAACTCTGCCTCAAGGTCAGCATCATTGACACCATCTTCAGGAATCATCATCCCATCAGGGGAGAAGTCTACCAGAAGGCCCAGCTTCAGGGCAAGGGAAAAAGACCCAAGTAAGAGCAAGCCTCAAAGTGACACCCAGCAAAGCCACAGTGGACACTGCCAGGCCAAGTTAGAGGTCCCTCCCAATCAGCTTGGGATTATCACAATCTCTACTATTACTGGTCACAGCTACTTTCTCCACTTGCGTTCACACAACCAATCACCAATCTTCCTTTGGAGGAATATTAAGACTATTTTATAAAGAGTCAAACCGGGAAGGAAAAGCTCATTATCCTTAGTATAAATATGGAAAACATGTATTAAGTACCACCTGTGTACAAAGTACCACGACGGATGCTGGGAGAGACACAAAGGTTAGTTAAGATACAGCCTCTGCCCTCATTAAAGTCTTGTTAGACTAGTAGATGATTGAATGTTAAAACCTCTCTACTCCTCTGTAGCCTACGCTAAGTCTAGATACCTTTCAGACCTTCTCTGAGGATACAACAAGTATATATAAGGATTCCTGAAAGGGGATATACCATCCCAAGGAAAAATTCTCCCCAAATGGGTGGATTCAAAAATTTGGATGAGAGGGAATTAGTGAGAAGCACTTTGCCTTCAAGGTGGGTCCCAAATGGATACCCTACTCAAGCACCCCAGGAAACATCCACATCTGAATGGAACACTGAAGAAACTGAGAATGTCACTGAACAGGAGTTCAGAGAAATCTTGGCACCCTGGACAGCAGCCAATCTGATCTCATAGACTTGGGGCAAAGGGCAAGCACCTGAAGCCTGCTCCACCCCAGGGCTTAAGTAGTCTGGACTTGGGCCTGAGTCTGAGCCTAGCTCCCAGGAAGACCATAACATAAATTTCCTGGGCGAAGCTCAACAGGAAAAACAGGCCTGTTTACCTCTCGTCACCAGATGGCAAACTGAGGCCACCTCCCTGTTATCTGCTTTGAACCTCATCCCTAACACCCGCTCAGCACCCTGAGAACGCACCCTGAGAACTGAGCGAGGGCAGATTAGGGAGGGAAGGACCCAGAGAAACACCTCAGAGTAATTTCCAGTCTTGCCCCTGGTTTTTCCATCATCAACTCTGGCCTACTTTACCCTCCCCCCAAAAAAGCTGCAGGTGTCTCAATCCTCAGGACCAAGGCAGAAGGGGGCCACTGTGGAAAGGATGGAAAATGGGGTGGCATGGCCTCAGTGAGGGAGGAGGAGAGAGTGGGGTGGCTGATTCTCATAGGGTAGAAACAGGACTATACAGGACTTCACTGACAAGGTAGGGGGAGGGGGTGAAGAAGCCAAGTCTCCCAGAGCCAAGGAGAGCAAAGGGGGTAAGGCCTGGGAAGGGAGTGGGGGGAAGCGGCCAGGCCTTCCAGAGGGGAGGGAGCTAGAAGGGGCGGGGCCAAGGAAGGCAGACAGCAGGAGAGAGGGGGCCAGAGAGTGCAGGCAAGGAGGGGGCAGGAGGGAAGGGAAGGGGTCGAGGCCTCCAGGGGGGAGGGGGTCAGAGGGCAGGGGCCCGGGAGGGCAGAGGACAGGGAGGAGGGGGCCAGAAGGATCAGGTAAGAGAGGAAGGGGGAGAGGGCCAAGCCTCCCAGAGGGGAGAGGGCTGAAGGGGGCAGAGCCATAGAGGTCAGGACTACCCGGGGGGCAAAGGGGGCGGGGCTGGGGAGGACGAGGAAAGTAGGGCCAGAGAGGGCAGAAGACGGGGGGGCGGGGGCCAGAGAGAGGAGGCAAGGTAGGGCAAAGAGCGAGGGGACCAGGCCTCCCTTGGGGGAGGGAAGCCCTCACCTGTCTGGCTGCCGCCGCGCCGCGTCCCGGGGGTCCTGAGGGCGCCTTCTTCTTATGCATGTTTCCGTCGGGGCTGGAGAGGGTAGGGGGGCGGGGACCCCAGGACCGCCCTCCCTCGTTGGTTCACTTCCGGCTAGGCCCTGTCCCCAGATGCACGCCCCGCCCCTCGCTGTGCCAGCGGGCAGGAGACGCGCCGGCGCGAGAGACCAGGAAGGAGAGACTACAATTCCCGACGAGCACTGTCTTCCCTTCCTCTCGCGGGAACTCCCCAACTGTGTGCACATTCACGCATGCGCGCCTGTCCCGGCTTGCCAGAGTTGTACCACGGTGTTATTGAGATTGGGCGGGAAAGCTGAGCCCGCGCGAAGTCAGAGGCGGTTTTCCTCTCAGGTGAGGAAGGGATGTTGGCGCCTGAAAGCCTGGGAACGCCCTTGTGACCCCTCCCCACCAGGTCAAGCTGGCCCTGGCGCTAGGGCTGGGAGGCGCGAGCTCCTGCCCTGCTCGAGCCTGGTCAGGCCCAAATGGGCCCCGGCCCTCCTCCCTCCTCTCCCCCTCAGGCGGGGGAGCCTGAGGCCGAAGGCGCCAAAGTGCGAGCGTGTGCCCTGCTCCCTGGCCCGGGTGGGGACTTCAAATTGGCGGGGCCCTTTTCCAGCTTAGGAAACAGTCCCAGTGAGGTGCCTTTTCTGAGGACAAGCAGAAAGTGTCAGAGGCAGCATGGAAACCCAGTTAGGTCTACTGATTCCAAACCCAGAAATCTTTTTAATGCACCAACAGAGTTCAGTGATATTGTTCAGTCATTTCAGTCCTGACTTCATTTGGGGTTTTCTTGGCAAAGACACTGGAGTGGTTTGCCATTTCCTTCTCCAGCTTGTTATACACATGGGGAAATTGAGGCAAACAGGGGTATGTGAGGACAACTAGTCACACAGCTAGGAAGTGCCTGAGGTCAGTTTTAAACTAGCATCTTCCTGACTTCAGGACCTAAACTGTATCTACTGCTCTGCTTAGCTACCTTAGTGGCTAATTAATAGACAGGTGTTGTTCTGGGCCTAGAGTCAGGAAGACTCCTCTTCCTCAGTTCAAATCTGGCCTCAGACATTTACTAGGTGTGTGACCCTGGGCAAGTCACTAGATCTAATTTGCTTCCATTTCCTCATCTGTAAAATGGGGAGGAGAAGGAAATGGTAAACCACTCCAGTATCTTTGCCAAGAAAACCCCAAATGGGGTTAGGAAGAATTGGACGCAACTGAACTACAACAACAAATTAATAGCACTTTTAGGTTTGGTAAATGCTTTGCTTAACATGATATCTCATTTGATCCTCAACTACCATATGAGGGAGGTGCTGTTGTTATTACTATTTTACAGATGAGGAAACTGAAGCAGACAAGTTGTACCTTGTCCGTGGTCACACAGCCAGTAAGTGCCTGAGGCAGAATTTAAATTTAGATTTTCCTGTCTCCAAATCCATTTTTCTATCTACTGCCATTTAGCTGCTTTGGAATTTGGGGAAAATGGATTAAAACTGCTGTAAATTGCTTCCTTATCTTTGGATTTGGTGACTGAGGACCCCAGTCTTCCAGTCAGAGCTGTAGTCATGGGCTCAGTGGATGGGCACATAGCCCTCCATTGGGCTGCCCCTTCACCCATGGCAGACAGTGCTCTGGTACCTCTTATCTGGTACTGGGATTATATAGCTTTCCAACAGCACTTTATGAATCTGCAATACATTATTTCAATGAAAACACAGCTATCTGGGTACAGTCTGTCTATAGTGTAAGGTAGCTCACTGGAGCCAAATAGAGGGTCACAACCCAGGGGTGGGTCCTCAAGTGTGACCCTTTGACTGAATCCAAACTTCATAGAACAAATACTCTTAAGAAAAGGATTTGTTCTGTAAAACTTGGACTCCTAGAAGGCCACGGGGGGTCTTGAGGCTGCAGGTTCCTCACACTTGGTCACAACCCAATCCATAAGCACAATCTATATGCCAGGCGCTATGCTAACTATACCAATATAAAGAAGGGCAAAAAACAGAACCTGCTCTCAAGCTCACAGTATAATGGGGGAGATAGGCTGAATCAGAGCTAATCTCAGGGGAGTCAGATAAAAGGACAGGGAACAGTTCTAACTAGGGCTCTGGGTTCACTTAAACCTAAAGTGGCCATATAGTTTGTATCCATATCCCCATGTAGAAGACCAAAATTCAGTTAGTGCATTAAAGGCAACATTGTACTTGTAGTCAAGAGGCTGCTGGGTGCTGTATAATATCCCAGAAAGTATAAAATATATACAAATTTAAGGGATGGTTCTTATTATTAGGACAGAAGCTTGGACAGATTCCTTCGGGGCAGTTTCAACTTGTACATTCCCAAGCCCTGAGAAAACAAATCTATCACACTATAAATCAATTTAGTTTTGCTAAAGGGTTGCAGATGGTTTGTGTAGAACAACTCATACTGGTACTAGATGAGGCCAAGGTTATACTTGGCATCCCATAGAATCCTGTGTAACCAGAGCCCTAAGGAGAAAAATATACATGGCTTAGAAGGACAACCACCTTCATAATTCAAATCTAGGCGCTAGTTCCTAGAACCAGGGGCAGTTATCTCTGTTGTTCAGTGGTGTCTGACTCTTACTAACCCCATTTGGGGTTTTCTTGGCAAAGATACTGGAGTGATTTCCCATTTTTCCTACTCCAATTCATTTGACAAAGGCAAACAGGATTAAGTGACTTGCCCGGGGTCACATAACTATTAGCAAAGACATTAATTACGGTGCAACAAGGTAGAAAAAGAAGACTAAGGCTAGTGAATTTAATAACCCACAGTTCAATAAATTGTAGAATGTAAATTACTTTGGGAAGAATTCTCTCTTAGCTATGTGTCTGAGGCCAGATTTGAACTCAGGAAGATGAGTCTGTCCACTAAGTATTGTGCTACCTAGCTGTCCCAGTTCTCTAGAGATGCTGTAGTGAACTGAAGTCTGAATACTGGGCCTCAGGCTTTTGGTCTTTGATGGTGATAACTAGTGATGGAAGTTTTTGTTTGCAGATTTCTAGAGGGAGGGTCAAGATGCCTAAGAGGAGGAGGCCACAGATTTCAGGTACTTTCATTTCCAAACAAATCATTTTTAAGTAACTAAGAGAAATAGTTTTGCTGGATGACAAAAACTCGTGTTAGAACAAATTTGTGAATAAATGCCTACTAATAAAAAACATATATATACACACATTTGTATGTATATATACGTACATATACATGTACATAATATATTATATGTGCATACACACACATTTTAAGGTTGATATTGTAAGGACTAGTGTGCCTCCATAATGAGAAGATGGGATTCATTGGAAAAGACCCTGATGCTAGGTAAGATTGAAGGCAAAAGGAAAAAGGGACAGCAGAGAATGAGATGGATAGATAGTGTCATGGAAACAACAAATGTGAATTTGGACAGACTTCAAAAGATAGTGGAGAATAGAAGGGCCTGGCATGCTATGGTCCATGGGGTCACAAAGAGTTAGACCTGACTGAACAAAAAAGCATGCCCTGACATGGTCATTCACTGCACATCGCTGGGAAACAGAATGGTAACCTGAAGGGGAGCTGGGCTGATCCAGCGTACCTGAGTTACTGTGCTTGTTCCTAAACTGTACCTGTTTGACGAGGAGGGAGGGGAGAGTATGGCATGTGAAGAAATAGGCTTTCCTTTCTGTTTCAGGAAGGAGTTGGTTGACCTTCAGAACTGAATACAAAGTTCTTTAAAATGTGATTTTTCTTGAAATGACCTTATGGGAATTACAGGATAGAGTCTATTTTCATGTTTGTGCTGTGCTTTGTTTGGTACATGTCTTTAAATGACTAAACAAGGGCTAGTGTGTTTAAATCTGAAAACCCCTAAATAAATAAAACTGACACTTTGCTTTACTTGCATGTATTTATTCAACAGTTTAGTTCAAGTCAGCATAGGACAGTAGAAAGCACACTGGCTTAGGTCAGAGGACCTGGGTTCAAATGCTACCTCTGATGCTTATTGACTATATGACCTTGGCCAAGTGTCAGGAATTTTGATTTCTCATCTGGCCCTTCCAGTTCTCTCTATGGATCTATGATCTGAACAGCAAAACAAGTACCAAAGAATACTGGATGTGAAAATCAGAAGACTGGCTTCAAATCCTGGCTCTGCTACTTGAGAACTAGGATACAGTCTAGACCTGTGATTTCATTAGTATAGGGAACTCCTGGATTAAGGTATTCCCCCCACCCAATGGATGTTGGTGCCTTCTCTGAAACTTGTAGTCTCCCTGGGCACAGAATTGCCTGGAACGCCAAGTAGTTAAGTTACTTGCCCAGAGTCAGACAGCAGGGCTATTTCAGTATTGAGACTGGCCAGCTCACTATCTACTCTGCCTCACTACTTCTCTGGCTATGTTAGTTATTACCTGTATAATCTTGACTCTGCTCCTTATTGCCTGTATAACCCTGGACAAGTCATATAACCCCTTGGTTTCTTCCTTTATAAAATAAGTGGTTGGACTAGATCTCCAAGGTCCCTTCCAACTTTATCTTAGAAAATATAATAATTCACATTTGCATAGTGCTGTAAGTCTTACAAACACTTTCAAACAAGTCTGTGAGGTAATAAAACAAATATTATTAACCCCCATTTTACAAGAAGTTTAATTGATTTGCCGTTATCATGTCTAGTATAAATCAGGATTCCAACCCAGGTCTCCTCTTTTCAGGTTCTTTCTTTCTACCACACTTTTCTGCCTTTATACCACCAAGCCAAATGTTCATAGATATAATGATGTACAGAATTCAAAGGATGGAAAGATCACTATGGGCTGATTCCAGTATCCCTCATGCCAATTTTTCTCTCTCATATACTTTATTTTAATATGAATTATATTTGTTGATATGCCTTATGTAAATATATAAATTCCTTGAGAGCAATTCCCATCTTCCATCTCCCACAGAAACTGGCATGGTGCCTTGCACATAGTTAGCCACTGAATAAATGAAATAGTGTTGTGGGCTACCTTTGTACTTGGTGGGTGTTGGGGGGGAG